GGCAATGGCAGATTTGGCTGCCGTACCTTTGCCCCTTGGAAGGTGAATGCTCCAGCCCCAGCACCCAAACACACACACGTTTTTAATCCTTGCTTGTGCGCTGGCCTCTCAAGCAGCTTCTTCTTTTCAGTGCTTTCAGCGTTCAGGCTGTGTGGCTGAATATGTTTCCTGATTTTTCCCTCCTTCTCTTTTCTCTCTCATCCCCCCAGGCTATTTCCCATGCTTTTCCTCACTCTCTGCCAAGCAGTGGGAAAGCAGCAGCCCTGCCTGACTGCCTGCGATTATGGGGACTCTTATCTGCGAGCAAAGTCTCTGTTTGCCAAGGAAAAACCTGAAGTCCCTGGGGGTGTATGGAGCAGAAAAACATATGTTACTGCTTTCATGCCTCGCTTGTTAACAAGTCCTAAACTTTGCCATCCTACTGATGCGTGTTTACCTGCTTGCTCTTTGCTCCCGTGGCTTTCCCAGTGAATGGATGCAAGTTTGCTGTTTCCCTTCTCTATCCATTTAACTTTGCTTGGTAAAGATGGGCAGGAATTGCAGACGATCTCTGAATTTTAAGAGAACTGTGCTTCAAATCTAGATGCAAGGACTGTGAAGCCTTTTGCTAAGTCCTGCCAAGGACTGAACTGTTTTTTTGGCTTCTGCATCTGCCATTTGTTTCGGTGTTGTTTGCCCCTTAGGTGGTTGTTGGGCACAGTTACTGGAATATTATCTTTCTTAGGATCAGATGCTTGTGAATTCAATTATATCAGTGTTTGATGAGGTATGAGGCGCTGCAGATTCTGCCAGACCTTGGGAGTTATAATGTTTTTATGGCTTCAAATTGCCTTGTCCCAGCTGTGGCAGCAGACTGGTAATTGGTTACCACAGATGAAACTACGAAGGATGAAGCCAAGGGATGGAGGGTCATGGAGAACCTGAAGGGTGGCTGAGTGGTAAGGAGGGAGCTTGTGTTAAATGGAACACAATTACTTGAGAACATGGAGATGAACCTGAGGGCAGAAATGGAAATATGCAGAGGTAAAAGGGGAAGAGTGATGCCTGTTTGGAAGGACGCATATAAAGAGAACAGTGGAGTGCCTGGAGATATGAGTACATTTTAGCTGAGAAGCACCCTTCTGATTGTCCTTGTGTCTGCCTTTGTTTTCTTCATTCTCACGTGGGACCTGGCACATCTAAGTCCAGGATTTTTCCTGGACTTGGAGTTGCCACTGGACTGTTTGCTGACACCAGCAGCAGCACGGTGTAAATGCATAGCAATACATGAATCCTGGGGAGCTGTAGAGGGAGGTGGGCTCTTCTTAGGAGTTGCTGCCTTAAGAGTAAAGCAGCCTCAGATTTGGTTAGTTGTCCTTGGGCTTCCCTCTCCCTGTCAATTATTTCCTTTGCATCTCCACGCAAGCATCACCTTTTGTCTAGTGCCTTGAGCATGCCTTGTGCTTCATTGCTCAGCAGAGACCCAGCAGTCCCTGAAGCTGTGGGGCAGAGCTGCTCAAAGGCTCCCATTTGCTGGGTGAGCCCTGTATGCCCAGAGGGAGCAGAAACCTTGGATCAAATCGTGGTCTGGGAATTGTCAGGATGGTTTCTGCTTTTGCACAAGAGCTCACCACTATTTCTTCCTATGATCTAATCTCAACCTACCTCTCAGTCTGAAGCCATTTCCTCTTGATGTGTTACTCCATGCCCTTGTCAAAAGCTCCACTCCAGCTCAATAGTAACCTCTTTAGGTATTGGAAAGTAAAATAGGGTCTCCCATCTACTTGAGTGGAGATAGACTAGAGAACATTTGTCCTCTGTACTTGACAAAATAAAATTTCAGTCCGAGTTTATTGCCATTTAGGATTCTTTGGCCTTCTGCTGGCTTCAAAGGAGCAGCTGAATCAGACAGCTTTGTCTGTTGGGGGCTGGGAGAGGAGGGAAAAGGTCTCTGGAAAGAAAAAAGGGAGAGGATAGGAAAAGAGGGACAGATGGATGCCAGCAGACGCTAGAGCCCAAAGCAGGGGACAAATTATGAATTTTGAGTCTCTTGATACTGAAAGGTGTTATTGCCATAGTGATACTGCTTGGACAGCTGGGTCAATGGGGATTCAGGGGATGCCAGAGCGAAAGGCATTTTGCTCTTTTTTGGCCAGCCTGATGTTCTTGGGAGACACAGAGGCTGGTGGAGGGGGTTGTGGACAGCAGGTTGTGTTTGTCTCTCCCTCATTCCTCCTCTGCAATGAAGTGTCCCTTTCCCAATAACTCATGGGCTTGGAGAGGTGACTTGATTGGAAAGACTAAGGCAGGAGGTCATGAAATTTTTAATTATAGTGGTGTCATAGGTACTCTGATGCATAGATGAAGCTCTGATATTTCCCAGGGAAGTTTTGGATGCCACATCCCTGGAAGTGTTCAGGGCCAGATTGGATGGGACTCTGAGCAACCTGGGATAGTGGAATGATCTTTAAGATTCCTTCCAATCCAAACAATTCTGTCATTGTGTGATGAAGCTGAAAACACCTTTCCCTTTCTGATGGGGGTGAGTTCAGGGTGAATTATTTAAGCATTCAGAAGCTCAAGGCCAGATGATGTTTGATACATGAGAGAAACTGGATGCTGCAGGTATCAAGTAGCCTGTGCTATGGGTGAACAGGTGGAACCTGGACAGACTGTGGCTATTGTGTGCCAAAACCCATGGGAAATGCCACAGAAATCCCAAATAGCAGGTGACTGTGCACTCCAAACAAGGATACTCTGAGGAGAAGGAAACATGAACTACAAGGAAAGACTAGAAAGCTGGGATGGCTGAGGCCAGAGAATGTTTTAGAGGAGACCTCTATACGCGAGTACTTGTAGTACCTAACAGAGGAAGAGTTTAAGCTGTTCACTATATCCAATAAACAAGACACAAAGTAATGTCCTTAACTGTAATACAGGGGACAAGACACTGGGAAAAACAAAAAAACAAAAAAACAAGTTTTAATTATAAAGTGAGTTAGGGCTTGTTCAGCCTGTCCTGAGAGATGGTGGAATCTCCATCACTGACAATTTCATGATGGGTAAACTAACACCTAGTTTAACACCTGGCATGCTGCTGTAGCCATACAGATGATATGACAGTGTTTCAGGACCTCCATAATCTGTTTTCCTGTCAAATCTTGTGTGCTCAAAGACAAATATTGGTGTGTGAGCCTTGTACCCACACCTGGGAATGTGAGAACAAACCTCATGGCCCTTTGAGAACAAAACTAATGGCTTTGGTCAAGTGTCCTGAATTCCTGTTGCTGAAGGAGAAGGGCTGAACAAGAATGGACACTGTGCTTTGGTGATACAAGGACTCATATCTTGGGGATCCTTGTAGAAGGTAACAAATATTGCAGTCCCATAGCATGTGGCAACCTTCTGGTAAGAACTCTGAAGGTTCAAATATATTCAGAAGCTGTTGTAACTTGGTAATTTCTGGGTTTATGCCAGGTGTACTTTAGGCCAGCTGATGAAACCAGCTGGATCAGTTGTCATCTGTGCCACATCCCCCCAGCTGTGCTCTGGGAATTCTAGAGCAGAATCACCATCTTGCTACATGAGATTAGCATCAATTTTTTACTAAGGGTGACTCTCTGGTGCCAGGATCTGGTACTGCTGAGCTGCTGGGGATGGCTTGACCTCACCACAAGTGTGTGTGACCCCACACATCCAAGTGTGTGTGGTTCCCTATGACTGTCCTGGATGGATAGGCACATCTGTCTTGGGCATTCAGGGCATGACATTCTTAGCACTGCATAATTAGTATTGGTCCAAACTGAACCCCTCTGTTGTTTCCTTTCCATCCTCTCGCACTCCATCTGCCAATAGGCTGTGGCATTTGGAAAGATGATGAGGGGAGTGTCTTTTCTGTCAACTTGCATCTGATGTCTGTGATTTATTTGTGCTTTCTGCAAACTGGTTAGTTATTTGGATGTGTCAGTCTGCAGGGATTTATGCACAGATTTTATCCACAGTCACACTGGGATCTGAGTTCTTTCCAAACACAAACCCTTTATATGTGCATTTCATCCATGTGTATAGTGCAGCAAACTGTTTATTCTGCCTCTTAAATTATTGTTATTGCATCTAAGAAAATCAGGGAAATCTTGAGTCCTAAGGGATTTTGCAGCAGATATTCCAGGATCTGAACATGGTTGATGTGGACTCAAGGGTGTGATGGCACTTTTAACACAACAGAAAAATGTCTCTGACTTACTCGTCTCCAAAGAAGAGCTGTATAATGAGGTTTCTTTACATGCCCACACAAAACTGTTTTCCTAAATCTTTCCTTGAAGTCTTGGTAGTGCCCTGCTGGGTGAACCACCCTTCAACTACCACTAGTCCCTGTGCTATTTGCTTTATTGTAACCACACTGGTTGAAATTTACCACCAAGTACTTTGTTTTTAATTATAATTATGAATAGATCTCCCACATATACATCTTTGCGGCTGGTCTTTCTACACCTGAAAATCTGCTTCAAGTAAGGTTGTTTCAGCCAGGTAATAATTATTTCTTAAGGGATCAGTCTCTGCAGTGCTGCAGTTTTGCTAGGATAAGAGAGCTGTGTACCTGGTGGGGCTTAGTGCCTTTTCTACATGAGCTAGTTAAACTGATAGCATGTTTCAAATAGGTCACAGTGTTGCTAAATAATTCCCATAGCTAATCCTAGATTCAGGTTCATATGACATAATTTGAAATGTGCTTAATGAATTCATTTCCCAGAACTCCCTGTATAGCCAAAAGGAGGCAGAGGTAGCGTCAAAGGTGATTCAGACTGCCTAAGTTACAACCAGGAGCACCACTGACTGCTAAGAGGACTTGCAGTGACCATCTTTCTCAGCTGGCCATCTCACTTTAGTATATAAAATTAGATGGGATGTCCTCAGCATCACTTTGTGCTGGTCTCAGCATCTGCTTGGGAAAACTTTCTCTTCTTTTTCAAATATGGAAAGCTTACCCAACAGTCTCCCCATAAAACTTGCATTCTTGTTTTAGGGGGAAGATGAGATAAAGCCACTCAGATGGAGGCCAGTCCCACCAGCCTCAAGAGGCTCAGGTTTGGGAAGCTGAAGGTGGTCCGTCGGCGCTTGCTGCAGAGGTATGAGCACCAGCCCTTCATCTCGTGTCTGGCTGGTTTCTACAGCTGCCGGTGGAAGCGGTACCAGCGCGAAAGGACCGAGCCTGGGAAATGCTGCTGCAACATGGTAAATGAGCTCAAAATCAGCTTGGAGAAGAAGAAATCCAAGAGGACTTGGATTTTTGTACTGGGGCAGGGCAGCCTAAGTAGACAAGGGGTTGATGTCATGGAATCCCAGCCCAATATCATTTGGAGCCCAGTGGGATCTGTTAGGCTGATAGATTTTGCTCTAAATGCTTGATGAATTGCTGCTTCTGTGGCAGGCTAAATTTGTCTGTGCCATCACACAGCTAATAAATGTGGATTTTGCAGCAACCTCTGCTGGCCAGTGAAACGTCTCAAAGACATAGAATCAAATTAAAGAAGTAACATTAAGGTTGAGTGGACAGTAAGAATTGCAAGGAAGGCTGCTCTACATTGCAATTTCCTCTCATGTGAGGTGGTTAAAATCTCATTCCTATTAATTTGGGAAGTCATGAGTTTTCCCTGAGAACAAGTAGTGGAAAGTATGCTTTTGATGCCATTTTCCTGGTTACAAGGGCGGGATGGGAATCCCTCTCCATATTTACTTCAGTTAGAATTTCAACACCAAGGTACATATTTTTAGGGACAGCCTAAAAGTAGCTGCCATTTGCTTTGATTGCTCTGGGCTGGCCATAGCTCTGACTGCTTGTCCTTCCTCTCCCTCTCCAGCGGGAATGCATGTTCTTCGCATTGCTCGTTGCAGCTTTCTGCTTTTCTCTGGTCTTTCTGTACACATGGGGTGAAGGTAAAAATGACTACAACAGCTTTGACTGGTAAGTCACATTTTTTCCTCCTCTCCTACCCGTTTGGCAGGTCACTAGGATGACTGGAAAGGGATGAGCACCCTCCAGAGCAGCTGTGGTGCAGCAGGGCACTTTAGTCATGAAGCAAAGGTTTGGCACTTTAAACTCTTGGTTACAGCATCCAAATTGAATGTCCAGTGAGTCTGGAGGTGCTGAGACTCTGCCTTTGCTTGGGTACAATTTTTAGGTGTAAGTGTGAATTTAGGAGAAGGGGAGAATCATTGTCATAAAAAATGTTAATGGAAGGGGCTAAATAACTCTTTCCTTTTCTGAGTCCTTCTTTTCCCCCTTCCCTTTCTCCCCCATTCCACATGAAGAAATGTAGTGGCTGGAATCAGAGGCATTGCACCAGCTATCTCACTAAAAGAGAATTCCATGTTCCCAGATTCAAAAGTAAGAAAAAATTGTCAGGGATTTATGCACATCTTTTCCTTCTGTAGTACGTAGGCAACAGTTATGCAAATCTAGCCTCTAAAATTAAATTAAAGCTGCTGAAATATTATGAGAAGGAAAAGTATAATAATGTGTTTTAGTCTGATGGTTAATGCAATCAGGGACTTTGGGAAGGAGGCTCTTAATCACTTTTGCATGTTACAGCATAGGCTATTCCTCCCCCTTTCTTTGTTTTATTGCTTAGAAAATTTCAGAATTTCAAGGAACAGGGCTGTTGGTCCTCTCTAGTCCATGTGCTAACCAAAAGCATTCTTACAGTATTTTATTGGTTTATTTTTAGGTATAACTATGGGAACCTGGGCTTCTGGTTTCTCTGGTCTCTTGTTATCCTGATTGTGGCTGCAGTCTTGTTCGCATACATCTCACTGTTACTGGTAAGCAATGCTCCTTGTAAGCTGACCTTGGTTTGTAGCCCTGAAAGGTAAACATAGGGGTGGCTTTATGTGTCAGGCCAAAGCTCAGTCTAGTCCTCCATATGATCCTTAGACAGTGAAAGTCGGGAGATGATCTGGAGCACAATGAGTGTTTACAGTACTTTCCCCCCCTATCCACCTGCAAATGGCCAGTTTCAGCTCAGGGGTCTCTGAGCCAGATGCCGTTTCTGTGATTTCTTTCAATGACTTCCCTTTGATAAATGTGTACAATTCCTCCTTGAACCCATGGAAAGCTGACCCAGCAGTGCCTGGATTTAGATTTAGGGGGAACTAAAAATTGTTGCTTTGGCAGCAGGGAAATATGGGGCTCTGAGTCATGTAGCAGTGGTGATATGTCACCACAGCTGAGTTATTCTTCTAATCCTGGATAAAAAGGTTTACTAGAGGAAGGAAAACAGAACTTTATCACTTGACTCACTCTGCTTTGCAGGAGGATTTTCCGCAGGTAGAAGCTATAAGTGTGGTCACAAAATGCTGCTGAAGTTTATGCTGAAAGAGATTCCTGAAATCTTCCCTTTTCTAAATCCTGTGAAATTTTTTAATATGGTGTCTGCTGTAGCTAGGGAAACATACCAACCCCAAAATTTTCCTAAAAATTTTACTTACTCGTTCTTCTTCTCTGATCTTTCCCTCATAAGAAAGCTCTCAAATAAAAACAGATTTGCACCTGTTTTTCCACTTTCTTCATCCAGAACTATAGGACAAGAATTCACTTTGACTCCAGGCACTGGAGTCCACATCAGTCCCATGCCTGCTCTGACTTTCATTTGGACATATCAGGTGCTGAAGGTGAGGTTATGGCTTTGTCTCACCTCTGTGACCAAGACAACCAGCTTTTATTATCCATTCCTGCTGTTCTTACCCATTCCCTGATGTGTCATCATACAGTCAGTCTGTAAATTGCTCACAACAGGAAACCTCTTTTGTCTCTGTCCGTGCAGTACCTAACACAATTGGTTTCTGGGGTCCTTTTTTCTTGATGTAGTACAGTAAATAATAAACAGTACTTTTATTCCAGTACTAGCGGTAAAAACCCCAAAGTGATAAATAGGACAGGCGCTTGTTCATGCCCACAGCAATCAAGAGCATCATAAGAGATGTGGACTGACTGAGCTCTGAAAGGAACAAACAAATATAATTAATTACAAGGATTTTGTGACACCATGGTGGCTCTAGGGCTCATGGACTATTATTCAGCAAAGCCTACCTGTCTTTCCCAGGGACTCTAGTTTGGTGGTTACAGTACTACTTTGGGCAACTCAGAGCTTTGTCCATATGACATGGATACATCTGAGATGGTGCCTCAGCAGGCTGTGGATCTGGAGTCAACCTCAGGATCAGACTAACTCACCATTGCCCATGATAGAAACCAGGATTTCCTGGGCTTAAGGAGCCTGAAGACTCCTGGGGTTGATGTGTCAGCTCGGTCATGCTCTGTCTAGATCCAAGTGTCAGTCAGTGCCTAAGCAGTGGACTTTCTTAGAGTATTTTCAGGTTTTTCGTCACCATGAACATGGTGACTGCAAGCTATCAGGGCAGGTGATGGGCAAAGTAAAGCCAGAAAGGAAGATGGAAGATATGAGGTGGAATTGGTGTCCTATCTGGTTTAGTTCAGCCCTGGTCTCACTCTTTATTATGCAGCTACATCTTCCTCCCAAGCCTCTCAGTTCTGTCTAATGAGGCTAACAACATTTACCTTCCTCAAAAGGGTGAGCATGGATAAACCTGAAAGAATGCAAGTAGTCTGGATGGTGTCAGACAACAGGAGAAACACTCCAGAGGTTCCTCTGCTCTGGGAACAGTCCCTGTAGTGAAGGTGCATTTGCTTCTTGCTTTTATGAAGCTGTTAAGTGACCCAACCAAAGCTGATGGGTGTCTCTGAGGACACTTGTCCTGTTTGATTGCATCACCATGCCACCATGTCCTTTGCAGCAAGGCTACTGCATGCATCCATGCTGAACAGTGGGTGCTGGGGGCATGAGACTGCTACTTAAATGTTACTAGGTCTTGAGGGAAAGGGGAGCAAGGAAAGTTATCACTGCCACCACTTACGCTCCTGCAATCTCAAAACACGAAGGGTGTTGTAGCAACCATGGCTGGGCAAAGCTCACCCTAGCAGGGCTCTTTCAGAGGAGGACTCTGAATCTGCCCCTCCACCACTGTTTACAGAGCTGCCCTTTCATGGAAGGCTTTGACGGACCACCCAGCAAAACACTGGGAGCCTCATGGGCTGGTAAGAGTAACTCAGCCCTTCCACATCTAAATAAGATATTCAGTGTGGGCATTATACAATAGGTGGGTTGCTCTGATACATTTCAGACAACTGATGGCCAAATAGGTTTCTGCCATGATGAATTACATTCCAAGTTCTGGTTGAGCAGTGTTGGATGGAGAGTACCTTCACCTAGCTGATGTTTTCTGGTGGTGTTTTGCATGAGCAGCCCGTCACTTCAGAAAACTGAACACTCTGATGCCCTTGTTGGACCAGAAAGATTTTATATCAGCCGGTGGCTGGTCTGATTTTGCTTGTGAACACCATACCCTCTTTCTTAATAGTGGCACCCAGCTGGAACCTGCAAGCTTGCTTCCATGACCTTATTGTGACCCAGTGAAGTATACAGACTTCTGCCCACCAGCCACAAGTAGCTGAAGAAAATGCTGCACAAGAAAGCGCTAGCTGTCTGACAACCACGCTCTCCGTCCACATGCATCATTGTCATTTTTTCACACAATCAATTTCAATTAATTCGGTTGTTCAATTACTCCCCAAGACAATTTTCTCACCCCTATTAGGGCTAAAAGGTTAAACTGAGGGGTCTAATTACAGAACTGTTTATGCTCAGTGGAGAAGAAAAATCTTTTCTTGTTTAGTCTTTCAAACCCCAACATTTGCCTCTCTGCAGTTCAACCATGTTTTTTCTAAGGGTTGTGACTGTACAAAGTAAAGAGGTTCAGATGCTATGTGGCCTCTTCATTCATAGATGACTCATAGAGAGGACTCAAAATAGTACATTGACACTGAAATCCAAAATGTGACCTCAAAACTCCATCCCTAAGAGACTGGGGTACCAGACAAGTTGCGAGTTTTTGCCATAAAATGAATGAACAAAAGGATCTGAATCCAGCTGCTGTGAACATCTAAGTGAGCAGATGTTTCAGGTGAACCAAATGTCTAAGTGCCTACCTGCATGTCCTTGTAGTGTAGGTTCAGAGCCTGCCCACAGCTCACCAGGTAGTATTGAGATGATTACAAGGTTGTTTCCATGCTGAAGTAGAGTGGAGTTATGTGTCTGCTGTCCACCCTTTGCAGCATAACCTCGTGGTCAATGCAGCCATTCAGAAATAGGGAGACAGAAATTAAATTCTCATTGCAGTGAATCCATTTCTCTTGCCACTGGGAAGCATCCCTTAATCACCACTTTGCAGGTAAATGGTGGAGGGGAGACACTTCCACACCTCATTTAATATAATAGAAGAATGCAAGAGTTGGAGGTTGTAAAATTCTGGGAGATGATGGGATTGGCAAGAGGGACCTTTAACCTTGGCCGTATTAGTCAGAAACATACTGGTCACCTAAGCCCTCATGCCTCTGTACTTATGTTAGACAATTCCAGAAAGTGTGTGGAAGCAATTTGGAGTAGACAGACCAATGAGAAGACACAAAGGAATAAAACTGTATTAGTGAAGATTTAGGTTAGAAATTGGGAGAAGATTTTTCACCCAGAGGATAGTTGGGCACTGAAACAGGCTCCCCAGGGAAGTAGTCACAGGACCAACTCTGTCTGAGTGCCGTGAGTTCAAGAAGTATTTGGACTATGCTTTCATGAACATGGTATGATTTTTGGTGTAATTTTGCACAGGGTCAGAAGATGGACTTTGATGTTCCTTGTCGATCCTTCTGGCTCAGAATGTTCTAAATGCTTGACTTTACTGTACACAAGGACCAAGTCTTTGCATAACATCACTTGCAGCAAAAGACTAGAGTGGCTTTTTGCTCTCATTTTTTCACCCTGAATTAGCTTATTTAGATGGAGCTGATTTAAAATCTTTAGAAGTATTTCAGTTCTCTCTCAACTGGCTCCCATGTTACTCATCATGTCATACTGGGGGCATTTATTCCATTAAAGGAATTCAACATGTGAGGAAGCACTTGTATTCACTGCTGAGTTTATCATAGAACCGTAAAATGGTTTGTGTTGGAAGGGACCTTCAAGGTTATCTAATTCCCACCCCTCTGCCATGGACAGGAATGTCTGCCACTAGACCATGTTGCTCAAAGCCCTACCCAACTTGGCCTTATATCTTGCTTCAAATCAGCATGATCCTAGAAAGAGAGTGTGTTTGTAGATAGATAGGAAACTTAATTTCACATGCTGTTGAGCTGCAGAAAAGAAGATCTTCTTCCCCCAAATCTATATATCTTGTTTTCATATAATCCAATTATCCTACAATCTTGAGAGATTTGCATCATAAATGATCCTCCTCAGTGGAGCACTGAAGTCTACTAACAGATACTTTTCTCTAAGCCCTGATACCTGATGATGCTGATCCCAAAATGATCCTTTACCGTGGTTAGGAAGTTTCCCCTGGCATTTAGACATTTAGACTCGTGAGCATAGATCTGTGTATTTTCACAGCAGCAAAGTTCTTTTTCGGGTGAAATTCATCTCCAGACTCACTGGTTACTTAGGTATAGAATTATGTGAAGAAGCTCTGCATGAGAGCTGTGGACTGACTTACTTCATTCTTGGCTTGTTGGAGTTCAAGACCTAGTGGAAAGTAACTTGCCAATGCAAAAATAATTCCAGAAGTGCCTCACTGGCATGCATCACCTCGTTCCACCAGAATGCATACAATCTCTTCTTGATTTCGCAGGTCCTCGCAATGTGTTTGCTTGCAGAAGGCCAGCAGCTGTACCTGCACTGGAGTCACAAGGTAGGAAGAGCCAGGGCTTTCTGGTAACTCTATGCTTCTAATGGAGTCTGTGCTGTTTCTTTGCACAGGAAACCTCTTAGACTATGGGAGAGAAGGAAGAGAGGAAAGAGATTAATCTTACGAGACTGAGATACCCATGAAAATGATATCTCCACCTGAGCTGATCACTCAAACTCCTTTTGCACTCAGTGGAGGGAAATGAATCCTCTTCAGTGCAATTCATCCAGCTGGTCATGGGCCTCTAAATTAAGATGAGATGAATCACACTCAAAGAACCTTTTTTCTCCAATGACTCTAAAAGGTGCCTGCAGTGACTCATTCAGGTGAAGATGTCTATATTTGACATATCTACATATGGTAACATGAAGTCAAAAGCAAAGTTTTCATGAGAAGCACTGCATGATTTTCTGGAGCAGACCCCAGCAACAGTGTAAAAAGTGTCTGCTCTCTCTGCAGGAGAGAAATATGGCTTTTCCGAGGCATCCTGGTGCTTTATGCCTTTTGGTCTTTGGATGGTTCCCTGGGAGTGGCCAAGGCCAGGCTGGATGGGGCCCTGAGCAACTTCATCCAGTATGTGGCACCCCTGCCCATGGCAGGGATGACCTTTAAAGTCCCTTTCAACCCAATCAGTTCTATAGTTCTTAATTCTATGGTTTGGGAAATGTGTTTTGGAGTTTTGAAGATGCAGAAACAAATTATCAGAGAGTTGTTGTAAAATTGTATTAGAATACTCTTAAGTAGTTTTTGAGTCTATGTGAAACATTTGAAAATGCTTCTCTATCCAATGCAGTTTAGGACACGATGCAATGTGATTACAAAGGCTGCAGTAGGAGGAAAGAGCTGAACATGCAGATGCTTGATCCTGTGTTTCTTCATTTAAGTAATGGAAACTGAATGATCTTTACTATAGAAAAATGGGTTCCAGAAGAACCAGAAAGTTGTAGAATAATGTGTAAAAAAAACCAACCAAACAAAAAAATTAAAAAGAAGAAAAAAAAAAGAAAAAAAAAGTAAAAAAGAGACATCATTGGGTGCAAGAGATTAAGAATAGATTATTAAAGTATTGATCTGTAGAAGATCCCCTGAAGAGTGGTTAGGGCCTTGGCACAATTTCCTTTAGTTGTCAGCAGAAAGATGATATACCAAGAAGTGTTTGCCATTACCACAGTGCTGGTACCAAATCAAACAAGAAGGTGAAGAATTGACTGAGACACTGCCTCACCTTTTTGGTTAAAAAGTGAACTCTCATCTCTTTATTATGGGAGGCATTATTTTTGCTGAAGACTGTTACAAGGCAGCTCACAGAACAAGGAAGCTGTATTGTTATCACTTTAGGGTGGAATTTGTCACTTCTGAGTTTAGAAGTGATGAATTCCATCTGCAAGTTAGGGATTCAATATAAGCTGATCACCTAAGCTCCGTCTATATCAATAGAGAGAGATTCCATCATAATGCAAGCAGGAATGGATCACCTCTGAATTTCCTCTTTTCTCCACTGATTACAGACAGAATCCTGAGAACTTAGTTGAGTACCCAGCTCCTGAAATCAGTCCTGCCATACTGATAGCACTGTGGATTTGGTTTTAGTCTGATTGTATCTCTCTGTCTCTGACCTGGCACAGTCCATCTCATGCATCTGAAAAAACTTTTCAAGCTGCTTAAATTAGCTGTGACTTAGATGGATGGCATACCCTATGCAGAAATGCTGAAGCTGATTTATGTCTTCTTTGTGTCCCCAGATTGGTACTTTTCTTGTCCTTGGCTTCTCTATCTCAGCACTCTTTGCATTATCTATACTCTGGCGAGATCACCGGAAAACTGTCCGCCTGTCATTCCAGGTAAGAGGGGTTGGGGGTCTATTTGAAAGAGCAGCTTGTTTATAGAAGTATTTTGTGACAATCGGCAGAAGATACTCCATATGGTGGATGTTTTCCACATGTTTTTTTGTTAGCAGGCCATGCTCTGAGTAAACTTTTATTATTATTATTTAACATTTCCTGTTGGGGGAAAGGAAGCCAAGGCCTCAGGTTGAGTTTCAAGCTATGTGATGTAACACATCTCAGTTTGGAAAGATACAGAAAGTTGCAACCCTTTTTTTTCATTCTTCCCAAAAATGTAGGTGTTCTGTTAAGTTTCAGCTGTCCAGGACAGGTAACTCACCCCTTAGGTTGGTAGGTTTTCCACGGCAAGAACTTTCTCCCTCATCCCTCATTCAAATCTGCTGGTACATGAAAGTTTCAGTCTTTTGTGGCTCAGAAGAGTTTAATCTCTTGAGGGCATGAGCACACTGAGTTTTTGGGGAGCAGGTGGAGAACACTGGTGTCAGTGAGACAAAAAGCTGGATGCAGGAGGTCAGAGTTCATGGTTGCTGATCTCCTCAACTCTCACCAGCTCTGAAGGTGGAGGCAAGAGCTGTCCTGTTCTGTTCATTGTGTGAGCATTCAGGTCCCCACTTTTATTAGGAAGGAAGAGGCATGTAGCCTTTCACTACACAGCTGCTTTACAGGATCCAAACCACTCCACAGTTCAATGATTCTGTGCTATTTGGGCCTATTTCCTCTCCCCTATGTGTCTTAGTGCTTGTGAAGACTGGGAGAGCAAAGTAAGTGGACTGGCAGAGGAATTGAAGACATGGTGTTGTAGGGTGTGGTTAATTGCACATTCCTGTTCCACAATTTGCTAACCACTGGGTTATGTACTGGCATGAGAAACCATTGGCTTCTCCTCCCTGTGACAGACACCAGGGGATGTGGACAAGGAGAAAGAGAGACAAAAGCCTTTGGGTTCCCTATATGTGCTGTTTATTTCAGGTGACCATGCCCTTTGAGATGGCCTCCTGTTGCTGTTCCCAAAGGACATGAATCTCTTGTAGGTACTGTGTCTTGTCCATTAGCCCTGCAAATCCATCTCAGATATTCTGGACATCTCAGGTGGCACCTCTGCTTGCACAGCTGAATCCTGGTTCTGCTCAGGAGATGTTGGTATCAAGTGTCTGGGGCAGACAGTGTCACATGCAGTAACTTCTGTGACTGCTGCTTTCTTCAACCCTTACAGCTTAGAGAATTGAGCATCAGGACTAAGAAATAGGAAAGGCTTGCATCTGGAGAGTTGGGTTTTTTCCCTAGCACATACTTTAGTAACTGTCAGTTCTAGCTGGAATATTCACCACGGGGCTCTGATGAGCATGAGAAGATGATGGACTGGTTTCTAGTTCAGGAGCCCATCCAGGCGTAAAGGCTGTAGCTCTGATGGGGATTGTTTCCATCTGTCTCCACAGTTCATCCTTTGACTAAAATCCTTTTCTTCTCTTTGCCAGGTCACAGCTCCTTATCTCCACATAGGGGCAATTGCCGTCATGGTCCTTCTTGCCTGGCCTGTGGCTCTTCATGCCATCAGAGCAGATAAGAAAGGTACGGCAGCTCTGGTTCCTGCTTCCTGTATGATAAAAGATATACACGAGCATGGGAAAAGAAGCATGCAGACCCCTTTCCACCCACACCTGCACTCCAGCTGGAGAAGACTTTCAAATTCTGCATCTCACAGGGAAATTAGTAGGCCTGGGCTTGGGCTGTGCACTGCCCTGTTGCTGTCCCAGTGTGTCACTGGTTTGCATGTTACCTTGCACTCTTTTGCCCTATACTGAGGCAGTGGTGGGCATTGAGACAGAGGAGACAGAGCAGAAGCACCCATGTTCTGAGTCATGAGTGAAAATTTGTTTAGCCCTCTGCAGGAGAAAGCAGCCAGTGGCAGCTCCCTTGGGTGATTTTTGCTTTCTGTGTACAGAAGGGATCTCCAGTCCAGTCAGACAAACCACATCTTAGGAGAGATCAGCTGAGAAAGGGAAAAGATCTTTTTGACCAGTTCCTAGTGTTATCTCATGGGAAGTTCCTGCCTACTACTAGCAAGAATGACCAAATGTCATAAGGATAAAGCCAGATGCCAGGAACAACTGCAGAAAAACCTGTCTGGGAGTGTCTGTTTTTCTCTCATTGTCTCTCCATAGAGCCAAAATTACCTTCCTGACAGCCATCTTCAGATACTGGTTTGCAATAAAAATCACAGACAAAATGGACTGGTGAAAGCATTTTGTTTCCCCGTCCGAGGCTTTTCTTGTTGAACTGCAGCTGGTGAGGTTGAGGGAGAATACACAGGGACCCTAGGCTGTGTACCACCATGCTTGAGGTACTCCTAGCTTAGTACATCATCGTTTTAGCATAAGCCCAAATTCCTTCCGAGCCACTGGCACAGAGGGACGGTGGTACCCACTCAGGAAAGAGGTGGTGGTGCACAGGTGCTCATTTCTCAGAACTGTTTTGGTCCCTGAGGAGAAGGACTCTGGGGGCTCTTGGGTAATGTCTCAACAGACTCCAGAGAAGACCATAGATAATGATTTGGCAAGTTTCTAGGTACAATATTCATGCTCTCAGGGTCTGTAGGATTATCTAGGTCACACTGAAGGTCACTAGCAACTATCCGAATGAACCAGGGAAGTATTCCAAGTAAAGAGATGCAACATAGTTGAAGGAGAGGTACCTCCTCTTCTTTATTGTGAATGAAACTTGAAAATAGTGCTTGTTCTCATCTGAGTAAGAGAAAGTTAACATCCTACTGTTGAGGATTGTTTTTCTACATATGGAGGTGATTTCATTGCACCGTGTCTAAACAAAATAAGAAATAAAGCCATATCTTGCTGTCATGCATAGTGAGATGTAATTAAAGCATAAAACCTGCAGTCCTGACTTAGACAGCTTGCATCCTTGCTTTGACCAATATGTTTTCCTGGGTTGCATTATTCGGAGAGAAAGTGAAAATTAGGAGAAGGAAAGGAAAAAGGGATGGGACAAAACCAAAAAGCTACTTAGCTAGAGGACTATATTAAAAGTGGCAAGGCAGACTCATATGTTACGATGTGGATTAACTCCAGCCTTCCTCCTTCAAATTCTTTCAGTTACTCAGGTGATAATTGTTGGTCCATACCTGGCTATCCTTCTCTTTCTTTTCTTGATACCTCTGGGGATGTATTCTCCTTGCATCAGAGAGATGGGAACACTTGGACCAAAGCCAGCCCTCATTGGACACCGTGGAGCACCAATGGTAGGTCTGAAGAGGTTATTTTATGTAATTTCTTCATTCTGTGTGTTGCTACTTTCATCATTGTCTTCTGTTGTTTCTTTGTTTTTCCCCCATGAAATCAGTGTGAGGTGGGAGACATTTCTAGTCATTGGGGCTGCTTGCCAAAGGCATCGCTTCATGGGTTTGCTTACAAGGAAAACACTGTTCCTGAGGGACAAGACAAGGCTGAAGGGGGCCCTGAGCAACCTGGACTAGTGAAGGATGTCTCTGCCCTGACAGGGTGATTGGAACAGGGTGATCTTAAAGGTCCCTTCCAACCCAAACCATTCTATGATTCTGTTATTCTTCTACATGATGGGTTTGGCTAAAGTGGAAGAAAAAAACAATAGGCTTTAACAATATAACGATGCTCCCTTAATAAAAAACAGATGCTGCAAAGAGGCAGAAAGTGTTTGCAGAGTCCTCCAGAGTGTGTTTGAAAATTATCTGCTCATGTGCCTTTTTGTTCAGCTGGCGCCAGAAAACACTGAGATGTCATTTCTGAAGACGATTGAGCATGGTGGGGATGGTCTTGAAACAGATGTCGCAATAAGGTGAGGGCAAAACATCACATCTCACAGAATATGTGCTGCTTCTTCTAAGAGCTGTCTTTGGAGACATGCAGCTCCAAGCCACTGGGCTTTACTGATGGCTGGGACAGGGTCCCTCCCCTGTCATGTGATGTCAGGGGCTGTAGAGTATGGTTGCTGTCAGGCAAGTCAATAAGCTGCAGCTATTGATTTAACAATCATTATTTCTACAGTGTGTTTTAAATGCTTGGCAGAGTATAAAAACAAGTCCCTACTCTAGTCTGACTTCCAGGTCACAGTGAGGGTTATATCAGTCTACAAACCAACAGAAAATTGTGTTCGGATTTGTGACATTTCCCTAATTATTAAATCTTTAATTGCCTTTGGTGAACCCATTGCCGTGAAATGCTAATATTCTAACATTCTGTGCAGGATGAACTGTTTCCAGGCATTGAATAAGAAAAACACTAACATTTAGATTTTCTACTAAACTAGACATTTCTATAAAAGAAAATTTTGTGTTTCCATCACTATCAATTCAGAATTCAGTTCTCTGGAAGCCACAGAAAAACTTTGATGTCAGCAGCAAAAAGAGATTCCAACAATAAGTTACTAATAATTTTTGAGGGAGTTGACAGGCGAAAAGGTCATCTCCTTCACATTGCCCCTAGGGAAACTGGGGTACAGAGAAGCATGACTTATGGAGATCCTCTAGAAGTATTAAAGCTGGAAATAACCTGGTGTCTTGAGCCTCAGCGTTCGTCCATATTGCACTCTCTGCACTAAGGAAGGCTGTACTTCTGCATTCTCTGTGGCCCACATGTTCTGACCTGGCTTGATTCTGTTCATCCTGTGAATGAACCTGCTCCCCAGGTGACCTGAACTCTTGCTCTCTGGCAGCTATGATGGGGTTCCTTTCCTCATGCATGATGACACCTTGAGAAGGACAACTAATATCCAAGAAGTCTACCCTAATGACACTGACAAAGCTGCTTCGTCATTCTCCTGGGATGCCCTGCAGAAATTGAATGCTGGAACGTGGTTCCTTAAGGTAAGCATCATAAAGGGCTAGAAGCATTCAAGGTCAGTTGGACTGGACTCTAGGCAACCTGATCCAGTAGGACACATCCCTGTTTATTGCCAGGGTCATGGACTAAATGAGCTTTAAAGGTCTCTTCCAATCCAAGCTTTTCTGTGATTTCATGGCTATCACCAACTAGATGTAAAAGAGACACAAACTGTCTATTATTTAACATCATCAGTGTTAGCAAAGGAACTGCTAGTTGAGTCGAAACTCAAATAAGTCAGTGTAAATCCTTCAGTTTGGGTCTCTTTACTTTGTTCAGTCTGCCTTCAGGTTAAGAAGACCTGTAACAATTGGCTGGTGGGTGTTCTTGTGTCACCTTATCATGGCAGCAGCAGAGCTCATGGCCTGCGGGAAGGACAAAAGAACTACTTGTGCAATGTGCTATTTATAACATTCAGAACTAACAAGGTGGGACAGAGAAGCACAGCAGAGATAGCTTTGAACTATGCAATTAAGGTCCTAGAAGCAATGTCCTCACAGCCTGGATTAACTTCCCCCATTTCTTATGTAGAGGAAATAAGAAAAAGAAAATATCCCCACCTGTTGAAGACTGACATCAAACTATTTCCTTCTTAGAGATGCAGCTGGCTCCCAGAGCAAACTGCCTGATTTATTTTCTTTTTTTCTTTATACCTGTTTATTTCTAGAACAAACCATTTTTAGGGATGGGCTCGCTGTCAAAGGCAGATCAAAAAGAGGCAATGAATCAGTCCATTTACACGCTAAGTGGTTTTTTGCGCCTCGCAGACAGTCACAATAAACTTGTGATATTTGATCTCTACCGCCCTCCAGAGAAACATCCTTACAGAAACTTGTGGGTCCGCAAAATCCTGGACGTCATCCTCAAGGAGTCAAAGATTAAACGCCATCTGGTAGGGTGGTCTCACTCCATATCCCTTTTTCTTGCTCTCCTCATTGGGACTTTGGGACATACTCTGCATGATTTCACCTGCATAAAATTGGTCCACAGCATTTCACTTGATTTAAAAGGCATCATTTGGAGTATATTCCTAATACTAGTTCCTCAGAAGGTTCACAATGGTGTAATCTTTCAGCAGCAAAGGAAAAAAGGCAGTCTATATACAGCTGATGCCTTAGCCCTTAAACAGCACCCCTTTATAAATATAATTGTCAGTCTATTTCCTGCTACCCATGCTTGTTTTATACATTGCATAAAAATTCCTGGCTTAAATTAAAATAAATTGTGAATCTTTATTGCCTTCCTCACCCTGGCAGTGGATGAATGCTAAACTCATGGGAATCATGTTATGTACTCATTGATGTCTGGGGAGTTATGCTGATCTGTATCTGCTGAAGATCTTTTCTTCCATGCTGGAAGAATGGTAGAACAGAATATTTTTGGTTGCCTTTTCCATAAACTAAAGCTTTTCATTCATTTTCAACACTGCATCTTTTGTTGGGCTGTGTGAAACGTACTCACTGATTTCCAGAGGATAAGCAAGGAACAATGGATACTTATTTCTTGATAAAAGTGACTTTCAAGTCCTAACTATCTGAATATTCTGAAGTTCTAAGCATCTGAATATTATTTGATCATTGGGAGAAACACCATCTGACAGGCTGGGTTAAGCCCCTCAAGATGTTATCTTTACTGGGCTTGTGTGAACAGTGGTGCATATTAGGATCATGAATTTTTCTGCTGAGAATTCACTGGTTCCTCTTGTCACCTGCAGGTCCTGTGGCTGCATAACGGAGTGAGGTCCTTTGTTCAATCTGTTGCTCCTGGGTTTCAGCACACGATGGGCAGAAAGGCACCAATAGAAGACCTAATAAAGCACAATATTGTCAAACTCAATCTGGTCTACACTGACATGTCCAGTGAAGATATCCGGTAGGTTTCAGCCCCAGGTACAATCTTTGGGGTGCATCTGGACTACATTTGCCTCATGCATGGGGCAATGTCTCCCTCCAGTGACCAGTTCCAGAGACTATAACATTTTGAGAATAGGTCGTTCAGATCAAGTAGCCATCCCTGATGTATTTTAGGAGTGACAGACTGCAGATCACTCCTCCTGTTCATTAAGAGGTGGCACATGTAATTAAATCTGGTTGTCCTCAATTCCATATTGACAAGGATCTGAGGATATCCTGGTAAGAACAACACAGCTGTATCCTGATTTCTTGTCTTTTTATTTGTGCCATCCCCAGTCCCACCACCACTGAATCAAGGAGAATGAACAACTATTTAACCTCCCATGGCTCTTCCAACAAACACCAGTGCTGTTGTGAGGGACTGTCACCCTCTTGTAGCCAGTGTTTTGGAGACATCATTTCCTATCTGTTACTACCAGTACTCTGTTGCATGTGACACACTGAAAATGTCATTTCTATGATGAAAGGCTCCACACTCATTGCAGGAGTTCCCAAAATGCTACTCTGACATGGCAAAATAACCCAAAAAACAACCAAAAAACCCCCAGCATTACCTGTCCAGCTCTCCTTCTGTAAATAGGATTTTTTGCTCTTTCCAATGCACAAAACCATTGAAGTCTAGTTGAAATTAAAAGGAAAGGAAAAACGTTAATCCTTTGGACAAGATTAATGTTCATATTTTCTCAATTATAATTGTCACAGGATGTGAAATCATAGAATCATAAAATCACAGAATAGTTTGAGATGTAAGGGAAATTCAGCACCATCTAGTTACAACCTCCCTGCCAGGGGCAGGGAAGCTCCCACTGGACATGATTTCTCACAGCTCCATAGCCTGGCCTTGAAGACTTCTAGGGATGGGGAGTCCAAAAACTCTCTGAGCAATCTGTGCCAGTGTCTCAACTACCCTCAAAGTTAAGAATGTTTTCCTAATGTCTGACCTAAACCTTCCCTCCTTCAGCTTAAGGCCATTTCCTCTTGTCCTGCCACTCAATGCCCTTTTAAAAAGTCTCTGTCCATCTCTCTTGTAGCCCATCTCAGTACGGGAAGGTTTTCTAAGGTCTCCTCATAGCCTTCTTTTCTCCAGCCTGAAAGGCTATAAAAAAATCATAGGCAGATCCATTTGGGCAAATCTTGGACAGGTCCTAGGTAGATTTCTAAATGTTGATATTGATGATACATTACTTTACCTTTATATAAAGAATAAACTTACTTCATATTAAGTTTCAATATAAAGCTTATAATAACTTGAGAAATGATGTGTTAATGGAGTGACCATAACAAACTTGGGTGGCCAGCTTCAAGGATTAGCTCAGCTGGTCTAACCAACTCAGGTGCTCTAACCAACACCAGCATTAGGGGTTCAATCCCTACATGAGCCATTAACTGAAAAGTTGGACCCTGTGGTCTTCTGTGTCCCTTCAAACTCAGGCTATTCTTTGATTCTGTGGTGGTTTGGAACTCAGTGTGGGGAGGTTATAGAATAACATGAACAGTTTAGATTTAAATGATCTCTAAGATCATCAAGACCATCAATCCCAGCACTGCCAAACCCACCACTAAACCATGTCCCCCCCTCTAAATGTTTTAAATACCTCCAGAGATGATGAATTCAGCACTTCCCTGGGCAGTCAATTCCAAAGCTTGATAACCCTTTCCATTAAGAAATTTTTCCTAATATCCAATCTAAACCTTCCCTGGTGAAGTTTGGATCCATTTCTTCTTGCTCTATTGCTTGAAGATCTTCCATGCTGAAAGAATGGTAGAGCAGAATATTTCAGTTGCTGTAGCCTACAGCCTCCTTTATAAACTCGTTGTTACATTGATTCATATGGCAGAAGGATTAGAAAGGTTTTGACCTTTTGGGCATTTTATCTGCATTTGTTTCCAGCTGTTCAGCTATTCTGTATTGACAAATTGTTAATGATTAATTATTGGCTGGTTGGCTTTCCTTTATGTTCCTTATCTAGGTCCTAAAGTAAGCACTTCCTACAGAAGATTACAACCATTTCCCATGATCTTCCCGAATCTCCTTGAGTAAGCCCGAAGGAAGTACTAATCTCCTTGCTCAATGAAGGTTGTTGCCTTTTGGTCTTTTAAAGGAAATATGCTGAGGCAAACATCACCACCAACTTCTATGTGGTCAACGAGCCATGGCTCTATTCCCTGGCATGGTGCTCTGGGGCACACTCTGTGACCACCAATGCCGTCCACTTGTTGAAGGATCTCAGCCAGCCACTCTTCCTCATGGTAAGTGGAAGTCTTCTCTGTCTCAGGGATGAGAAATAGGGTTAGGATGTTCATGATTACCTTTGGAGATGATGGTCCAGTTCACACATGGATAAAACATCCTTTAAGGATCCTCTGCATAAGAAGGACCTGAGTTCAAACCTGCCTTACTGGGAACCTTAAAGTCACTACAGGTATTACCATACCCTTCTCTCTTCTCCTGGCTCAGGATGAAGCACCCTATTTGTTTGGATTATCACCTTAGGCTCTGAGATAAGGGAAAAGAAGTCTTATTGAGACTTGTGCAGGAAGAAAGGAAGGGCCTTTGGGGACACAAGCTGATGCATGAGGATTTCCAGTTCTAAGCTTTTCAAGCACCTTACTGATGTCAGAAGTTTCTCTTTTCCCAGGGAGTCCCACTGCCCTTGTCAAACTTGGTCTTGTTCCGCAAGTCCAAGGGAAACAACCACAGATATAAGCCTTCTTTCTGGAAGGAATTTTCACATAATTTCTCTATTTATTATTCTGCCTTGGACAACCTGTAGAACCAAGAAGCACCTGAGGCATTGGTCCCACCAGAATCTCTTCAAGCACTTTAACCAGTTGTCTTCACAGTCTTGAATTAGATTTTACAATGCTCCCCTCCAGAGAACTGCAGTGTTTCAGTCCATTCTAAGTTTGGGTGGAGGTCCAGTAGAAGGATAAATCTTCAGATGTTCTCAGACTTGAAGTGGAAGCCACCCCAGGCTCTCTGTGGTGTTCAGTAAAGGGCAGTTTTGCCAGAGGAAATGAGATACCACCAGTTGATGTTATATTTGGGGTAAAGCTGAGAAGTGCAAGACCTGCCTTACTAACAAGAGGTCTCTGTGGCATTCACTGTGATAAGGTAAAATCTTCTTGGCTACACAACAGACTTGCTTTTATGAAGGAGAATGATTTTGCACCAGGACCCAGTGGTGAGTGGCCAATTTGAGATGCCACCAAATGCTTTAAACACCCAAGGGATGTTACTGCAGATGCAAACCAGGCAGCTGAACAGCCATGTTCAATCAGGGAGAAAGTGTTTGAGTAACTTTTTTTGCAAATCTTGTGGTCCTTGGTGGTAGACACAACCTCTGTTGTTTTCTTACAGACTCCACAGCAGTACAACATCATGTGGATCCTGACAGATCTGACCTCTGCATTCCTCATCTCACTCATCTTTGCTCTGCACTGGTAACTACCAAGTTGTTAAGGGCCATCCTAACCTGACCTTTTGCTCCAGGTGGAGGGAAGGAGGGAATGCTTTCAGGTGACTTGAAGGGTTAAAACTACTCTTGAGAACATTAGCTTTCTCTTCTGTAAAGGGAAGAAGGCCCTGAAAGTCCCCCAAAACCTCCCTGTTTCTCCTGCTTGCTCTCATTTTCCCTTTCCATTTTGGCAGCTCAGGCATTGTCTACTCTCAGGATTCAGTGGAGAACAGGCGGATTTATAGTAGCAACATATACCAATTATCAAAGCTGGTGGGCTGAGAAAGGAACAGAGTTTTTATTATTACTATTTGAGAGTGTTTCACTGGACTGATAGGAAAGTTCTCAATGTTAATATTAGAGCACCCCATGTCTCTCTGCACATACCAGAGCCCCGCAGGAAATCCATCCTCTGACACAAAAGTGTCTGACCATGTCACAGACACCACATTTTGTTTCCTTTCACTCTGTCAAAGATTATTGGTAAATCTGGGGTTCACAGAATGGGCACACCGCAGCTGCTTGTGTTTGGCTGCTGGATGTTCTGCTCTGCCACAGTTATTTGAGGAACATGCCTGTGCAGAAATTTTGGAAAGCCCCTGGGTGAGCACTCTGGACTGCTGCTAACTGTGACTTGCTTTGGTACAGGAAAAGGTTGGAGTGCTAATATTGCTCTGGGATGGTGAAAAAATTAATTAGTAGCACTTTGACAGTGATGAATTAGCAGCTGTACAGGCATTTTTGCTGGGCATCCAGGCTTTCCCCAAGGCAAGGCGGTTCCTTCTTTTCCTTTCCCTCTTACCGTGCTCTGCTCTCCTCAGGTCCTGCTTTCCCCTTGTCTTCAAGACTGCAGGTTTCAGGGTGGTACAGAATCACCCCTGTAAAACATCACCACCACTATCAGACCTTGCCATGCCCAACTCCTCCGGGATCATGTTCATGTTGTGTGCATTTCCCAGGGTCCTGTGGATGCTTCTGGTCCAACCAAACAACAGACTCCTCTGGACTGACCTTGAAGCAAGGGCATCCCCAGCCCTCCTGGGACCAAAGGGCCATTAGCTGTGTCTCAGTGCCCTGTGTGGTCTTGTCAGGTTTATGAGCCCACCAAAATGACATTTTTTAAATTTTCCTGTCTGCTTTAGAATAGTGTCTGTAAACATTTTGGAGGCTTTAGAGCTCTTAAATCTTGCTTAGAAAACAGGGCTTAGTCAGAAAGTTGCCTTCAAAATGCTGTTGCACACATGAAGTGTAGATGCTTAGACATCAGTCATGCACCTCTCTCAGTAAGGACCTGAGAAAATCCCAAACTACCTGCCCTCACAAAGTAGGTAAAAGCTGTCCAAGGCAGCAGAGGGCCATGAGGAACACCACAGCAGGCAGTGGCATCTGACCCACTTTCTCTGGCCCATGCAGGTGGCGAGAGAAGAACTTCTCCTGCTGTGCCCAGGACAGTAACCCAATGATAGAGAGTGGTGGCACCTACAACAAATTCAAGACAGGTGAGCAGGGCAAGGAGAGCAGCTGCATCCTGCTCAGGGTGGTCTCTGTGGGAGTACCGAGATCCTGATGGGTGGGCTGGTGATGCGTGTCCGTACTTATAAGGAAGGTTATGAGGAAGGATGCACTCTGGGTTACCTCAGCCCCAGACCCCATAGCAGCTCAACCCAATTGGCCCTGCTTCTAGCAAAGGCTGGGGCAGAAGACACCTCCAGGTGTCCCCTCCAATACTCATTACTCTGCAGTACTGTGAAAAGAGACTCTGGAGGCACGGAGCACTCTTGGTTCTGCCAGGCAGGGTGGGACTGGCTGAGAACCCTCCCATGCACCACATTTCTGCACCCATGGAGCTATCATCCAGACAAAATGGCCCAACCTGGGCTGCATGCATTTTCAAACAGGTTCTGTTTGCTCACAGTGGCTGTCAGAACAGATGCAGATGTTTGGTAGCTCACTGTGTGTCTCCTTTTCCAGAGCTCAGCGACATGCCTGCTGTCCTGGCCTGACATGGGCAGAGAGGGGACATGGACCTGCTGTCTCAAGGAGGCCAGGGAGACCAGCTGGTGGGGGCTCAGATCTACCTGGTGAGGAGGAGCCATTTGCCTTCATGGCCCTGCTGGAGATGGGCACCAACCTTCCTCTCCTACAGCTTTTCTCATATTCCCATGCCTGCCAGGGATCCTTGGGGTGTAGGAGAGCACAGATGGAGGTGTAGCCATGAAGAATCTGTGTCTTGTGGTGAGATGCAGCAAGCACATGGGCGCCATTCCCCCCATTTACTCGGGACCACGGGCATCCCACTGGGTTATCATTCCTGCTGTGCATAAGCCCTGTTTCCACACATGCTGTGAACATCTGAGCATCCTCCAGCCCTCCTCATTCTCAGGTGCCCAGATTTCTCCTATCAGACCAGCCTCTTCTCCACACACTACCTCCTGCCCTCCCCCCTTGCAGGTGTCCTCCATCCCCAAGAGCACACAATGGTCAGGTGCTGCTGGCTGGGTCATTACAATCGGTACCTTTCTATAACAGAGGCAGGGGCATCTTTGGTTTTCCCTTTCTCCGCTCTTGCCCTGCCATAGCCCAACAGGCTAATCTCCTCCCCCTGTCTGTGAGTGAGGGCATGTCATTCCCGTGGGGGCTGAAGGACTTTTTAGGTGTCTTGGCCATGTAGCTACTGGGACTATGACCAGTAACAACCACTTTTCTTCAGAAGGATGGAGCTGTGTGTGAATTGGTCCCACCAGGTATTTGCTTTTTCCTTGGAAAAGTCTGTACACCTTTTCTACAGCCTGGGATTTATTGCAATTTTCATTTCTCCCAGTGGCTGCTGGCACACAGTGGGGAGGGGGCCTATTCTCTGTAAGGGAGATGTAAACATCTCTCAGGTTTAAGCCATATCTTTCTACTTGAAGAGATAATAAGAATATGTTTTTTGTAAATTGCAAGTGATGTTTTAAATACATTTTATCTCACCTATCCTGTTTTGTTCTTATTTCAGCAAACTGGGAAAGGGAAAGAATACAGTAGTCTTTACTTGATCCAGACTATAGACATACATATAGCCTTTTGTTAAATGAAGTGATCACAAGTGAGAGGGCAGCATGAAGTTTCAGAGTTATCTGTGCTGAGAAACATCTAAACCTTCCCAAGCTGCAATTTTGCAGTATTTTGGAGGCTAGAAATGCAAAAAATTAAGATTCTCCTTTGGAAAAAAGTTAAAGGACTGATGAATTGTTGTAGAGCACCTCCAGATCTATGAAATATGGGGAGTGGATGGTGTTAAATTCCCCTCCCCATGCCTTGCATACATAGGTGGTTCATAACTTTTCATGGACACCACGTAGGGTATGTGAGCAGCAAAACTAGGAGGTGGGGAGTGTGTGGGTTAAGCATGGTGTGCACCATGGGCTCCTCAGCCTGTGCCTTGGTGTTCAAGTGAGGGGTTTGGCTGTAGTTCCCCAACTGCTGCCTTTAATATGCATTGGGGAAAGCCACCTCAGTGCTCTCTGATCCATGTATCCAGCTGCTGCTTGGCCAGTATGCACTGGTAACTCCCTTTACTCACCCTCCCCATCCTCAGAAGCCTTCCCTAGGGAGAGCCTGGCCAGTTAGACCTGTGGTTCCCTTGAATGCCTTACACTCTGTCACATCTCAACTACTATTTTCATTGCTTCACAGCTAGCAAGGTCTGGCAACCTCGTTAAGCAGATGACTGGTCATCTGACTCCCACACACAAGCTTTTCATCCAACACTTCCTGCCTGCAGTGATTAAGCTCAAAACTGACTGGAAGATTCAGCCCTTGTCATAGAGGACAAGCATTGGAGACTCCCAGACTTCACTGTTTTTTATCCCAAAAGAAAAGATGTAAATTGATTTTCAGTTTGGAAATACTGATGATTTGTTCCCCCTTGCTGGATGCTCTCCTCAGGAATTGCACAGTGCAAGGAGAAATCTTGTCCACAACAAGAACCTGGGATCCCTGATCCCACCCTTTCCCCTGGAGATGGCACCACAACTGCACAGTGCAGAACAGCCTCCCACAAGCCACTTGATGCTTTTTAATTGGATTATTTCACTTGGACATATGTTTTTTTCACGTTACATTGCTTGGTGTGAATACAAAGAGGCCAGCAGATGCTAATACATAAGACACACAGGTACAAACACACAGAGTCCCAGTCCTGCCCAAAATTATGGGGTGCATGGGATGCCAACAGAGCTGTAAGTGGAGGGATGAGGGTGGTGGAAGGGGAAAGATGACCCAGGACAGCTCTGGAAAACACTGCTGTGCTGCATCATCTGCTGAGCATGCAATGGGTGGCAGGGATGGCTGGAGACTCAGAAAAAGCAGTGATGGTGTGGTGATGATAGGCATGTGTCTAAGGACAGGTGGGATCCCTGGGACCACTGGATCATGGCAGCTGGGGAAAGGAGAGAAATGTCAGAGATGGATGGTGAGAAGGCAGCCCCCAATACAGCCTTGGTTGGTGTAACCATGCTCCCATCGCCAGAGTGCTTTGGGTAGGGGATGATGGAGGAAGGGGATCTCCTAGCAGCCCTGTCTGGCTGGTGGATGGCTCCGTGCAGCATCTCATTCACTTTGATGGAGCAACCAAAATCATAAGTCACTGCTGCATCCCACTTGAATGTCACAGGCCTCAAGATCTGGTAGGCAGCGCTGCCAGTTCTGCCTGGCACACCATGGTGTTGGAGATTGGAGCCCAGCTGAGCTTAACAGAGCAGCACGTGACACCCCACAACATGGACTTCTACAAAAGCAGTCAAACCCAGCCCAATGCACAGGACCAAGAGAGGCCTCAACATCTACTGAGATCCACTCAGTGTTGGTTACACAAACACCAGAGCTTGGTGGACAACTGTCCCCTCTCTTGATACCCCACACCCAGCCATGTGTTCCTTTGAAGCCTGGATTTTGGAAAGGCACCCCCAGGCTTCCCTCCCAGACACAATATGGTTTCAGCCTCCTCTGCCAGCAGGTCCCATCTCTGCTCCAAAGTAGGCTTGTCCGCACTGTGTGGCATTGGGTGGCAGATGAGACAAACAGCCAGCAGATGAGTACAGCCAATCAAAGACGGAGAAAAGCCCACCAAAATCAAGGGTCTGCCCTTGCTGTGAGTGGTTCAGGTCCAGCTAGGACTCATGAAGAGCTGCTTTATACAGAAACACACAAAGCACAAGAAAATCAGCTGGTACAAACCCGATGGCCAAGTTCATGTTTGAATTGCAACCCAGTATAAGCTTGGCTTCAGTCTTCCAAGCATAGGGTGTTCAAAACCCCTATATCCATATTGAAGTTTGCAGTAAAAGTCCTCCTCCCAAGGTTAATTTTTCTGGACACAGGAAGCAAAAGGAGATAATTCATTTTCCAAGCTTCGCTTCCAGCTGAGTCCTTAGGTTGGGAAAGATGTGCCTTACTCAGCCTCTGGCAGTCATGGCTCTTCTCTGTTCTCATGGGAAATCCCTGGGCAAGGGATTGTTCTGCAGGTTGCCCTCAGCCCCAAGTCAGCATCCAGATACCGGCACGAAATACAGGATTTTTTTTTTTCCTTTTTAATATTTTAAAAAATAAATAGAAGAAGAAACAAAACTTTAAAATTTGTTCTTTAAATATTTCCAGCATTGCACGGATAGCACTTTAGTACTCTAGCCTGTTAGATCAGTAGTTTGTTTATTCTGATTCCTAGTTAAAATGTGCTCCTCCCAGCCTGTTTTTTCTTTCTGTACATCTTAAGAACATAGTGTATTCTTTTGTAATGACAAAAAAACCAAGCCCTGCAGTGTTCATTTGACATCTTTCCAGTATGGATCAGGGCTTGCTTATTCCTCTTCAAACCTGAAATTCCCAGAACTTCACCAAAAACCTGTTAGCATCCTAACAGCTCTCATATTTAACGAAAAAAAAGCTAACAAATGAAAACAAAGCAAGCCACGCGCGCGCACACACACACACACACACACACACACACAAATCCTCTTCCAAGAGCCTTTGTGATGCCAAACAATGGGTTCAGGCAAACCTCTTGCTGGAGTGTTTTTGCATTGGTCACTGTCTGAGAGCAGTGATGTTCCCTGGAAATCTTTGAGGTGTAGGATTGAGTTGGGATGCAGGGTGAGGAGGTCAGAGATAGTCATCTTCACTGGAAGGGGAGGTGGGATTGGAGCCCTCAAGGTCAGAGTCCAGTGAACTCCCTGATGGTGTTCGGCTCATCTTCCACATCTGGGAGGCAAAGGTTCTTGCCCAGCTGCATGGGTATCCCACAGCCCTCAGCTGGTGAATTAGCCCCATGACCATGTGCCAGTGGCTTCCTGCAGTTCACTTGCTGCCCTTTGCACTCCTCTGTTTGCTCATGGCTGTTAGCATCTGGCTGATGTACGAGGTCAAAAGATCATCCATCTTGTACCCCTGAGGAGGAGAGAGAAGATGTTACCAGACTCTAGAGCACACTTTACAGTCTCTGGCTTGTGCCTCCTGAACACACTGGCTGCCAGTTCTCGACTTTTAAATTTTCAGGTACATTTTGACCTATTCCACTGTTCTCCTTGGGTGAAATGCCACCACCATGAGGAACAGCATCCAAAGATAAATTGCAACATTGAGACAGAGGAAGTCCCTGTCCCAGGATGTTGCTGAGGCTAAGGACATAGGGAGCTTTGGATAGGACATAAATTTTCAAATGCCCAACAAAATACTGAATGCCTCAGATGAGCAACAATTAATCCAGAAGGAACTTTCATCCTTTGCGCTTTGGGTTTAAGAGAATCTAGGAGGTTTATTGCTGTGATTGTTACTAGGGACAATCTGGATAAATGATATTGGTTAAAGGGATCAAGAGTACCCCTTGGGTCCATATCAGCTTTAATGTGTTTTTCAGTCCAGTGATAGGGAGCAGCCTCCCATGCTCCTGACACAGCAATATCCCAAGCATCTTAGGCTTGCTTGTTTGTTGGATGATGGACCATGTGAGAGCCCTGATTCATTG